CGAGGGGCTGAGCCCCTGGGGGTACCTGTGCCTTGCTCTCGGGGACAGCAGCAGCGTCCTTCTGCAGCAGCTGGTAGCCCAGGTTGGAGATCTCCTTCTTGATGCTAATCATGATGTCGGAGTAGTTCTCATAGCGTCTCATCTGGTCGGTGAGGTGCAGGACGCTCTCCTTCATGAAGTCGTTCTCCCTGCTCAGGTTGGTCTTGATGGTCTGGAGGAGAGGAGAGGTGTGGAGCCCCTCTCGGGGAGCCCACGGCACCCCCAGACGGTCCCGAGCAGCCAGACGGGGCACACTGCAGGGACGGTGCCTGCCGGAGCTCACTCACCTCCTCCAGCGTGTTCATCTGGGCCACCACCTTGCTGATGTAGGAGTGCACCTTCATCAGGTCCATGCTGTAGAGCGTTCCCTCCAGCAGGTCCACCATGGATTGCAGCTGCAGAGGGAGAGCAGGGCTGGGGCACAGGGCTGGGGCAAGGGGCATGGGGCATGGGGCAGGGCTGCGTGGCCACTGCAGATGCCCCCACGTGTCCCTGTCCCCGCTCACAGCCAGGGCACAGGAACCACACTGCTCCGTTGCCCTGGGGCCTGCGGGGGCAGGGACGGGGAGTGTGGGCTCCTGCACATGGGGAGGGGGTCTCTGGCCCCCAGCGCACGGTCCCACCACGCCTGCAGATACCTTGAAGAGCTCGGGCGCCTGCTTCTTCAGCTTCTCCATCTTCCACTCATTCTCGCAGGGGTTGAGCGAGGACGGGGGGGCAGTGCAGGAGCACTTGCAGTCGGCCCCCGAGCTCACCGTCTCCATGTGTCTTGGGGAGCGCTGGAGGGCCACTGCAGATGCCCCCACGTGTCCCTGTCCCCGCTCACAGCCAGGGCACAGGAACCACACTGCTCCGTTGCCCTGGGGCCTGCGGGGGCAGGGACGGGGAGTGTGGGCTCCTGCACATGGGGAGGGGGTCCCTGGCCCCCAGCGCACGGTCCCACCACGCCTGCAGATACCTTGAAGAGCTCGGGCGCCTGCTTCTTCAGCTTCTCCATCTTCCACTCATTCTCGCAGGGGTTGAGCGAGGACGGGGGGGCAGTGCAGGAGCACTTGCAGTCGGCCCCCGAGCTCGCCGTCTCCACCGTGTAGAAGTCTTCCACCCGCATGCTGCCATTCCTGACGCGGCTGCAGGCGTCCTTGCTGAGTGGCCGCAGGATGCACTTGCAGCGACAGTCAGAGCCCTCCGAGGTCATCCGGACCTGGTCCGCCTCACCCAGTGCCTACAGGGACACACAGCGGTGGGGCGGCCGGTGAGCCTGGTGACCTGCCCGGGTGTCCCACGGGGCCCTGCCGACCCCAGCAAGCCATCACAGCCGACTCCCTCTCTGCTGGGTGCCCAGAGGTCTCCCACCACCCCTGGGGCTCCTGGCCATGCCCCGAAGAGTGTGGGGCACGGTCTGGCCCAGAGCACACTGTCCCACCATCAGTGACAGTGACGAAACCCAGGCAGCCGCTTGCAGAGCATTTTGTGCCCCGGGTGCTTTGGTCCCACTTCTGCAGCTGTTTCCCAGCCTCCAGCAAGACCCGAGTGAGCGGGGACGGTGGCGAGGAGACCCAGAAGCGCCTCTGTCCCCCCGCGCCCACAGCCCCGAGCCCACACAGGGTCCGTTGTTCATGGTGACACGCAGCCACCTCGGGGTGAGCTCGGCCCCTCCAGACTCCCACAATGGCCCGAGGCACACACTCAAGGACTCCCTTGTTTCCACTCACGGCCCTGACTCACGCTACGGAGCCCAGGGTGCTTTTCGGCTGGTTTCTGCAGATAAGGAACTGTTCTCTCCTTAACGCCGTTGCGTTCGGGAACAAGCCTGCAGCTCAGCCCGCCCGGCGGGATGGGGAGCTGTGTCCCTCTCACCCCCTACCTCCAGCTGTGCACCCCTGGGGGACATCTGGGCTGGTGGGGAAGCACGGCTGGGCTGCGCTGGCTGCCCCATGCGTGGGGACGTGTCTGCTCCGAGCACCCGGGAGGGTGGGAGAAAGGGGAGCGGCAGTGCGGTGACCCCGGAGGGAGAGGGCTCTGGCCGCGGGGACTCTGACTCACCCTGGGAAACAGAACGGTGGCAGAGCTGGGAAATGAATTTAGCTGTGGCTCTCCCACCCTCCCCGGAGCACAGCGCGGCGTGGGAAAGGCCAGAGGCCCAGAGGGACGATGTCCTGCCTGCGGGCAGCACCCACGGCCGCGCAGGCGCCATCCTGCCCGTGTCCAGCCGGGCTCATGTGCTGGCGGCAGCCGGGCAACGGCTTTCCCTGCGGCAGGGACCCCCAGGGACCCCCAGCTCCCTGCGCCCGGGCTAGGGGCTTCCTTTCCTAAAGATGCAGCAAAACCTCCTGCATTTTGCATTTCAAAAAAGCCTCTCTCTTTCAAAGGGAAACGAAGGAAGGTCCCGCTGGCTGGCAGGAAAACACCAGGCGGCCCACAGGGCTGTAAATCGAACAGGATCTAATCAGGCTCTCGGCAGGGAGCAGCGGGGTGGGGAGCGAGACCCCCTCCCCAAACACCACCTCTCCAGGCTCTCACACCTCCCTGGGCCCCCTGACCTCCCCACGGCAATGCTGGCGCTTGTGCAAACAGGCAGGACAATTCCCAGCCCATGCTGCCGGGGGTCCCACTCCCAGCTCCATGGCCAGGCTGCAGCAGTACCTTGCCCAAATCAGGGTGCAGGGCTTGCACATCCAAGAACTGCCCTGTTTTTGCAAAGTAGCACGTTATTTTGCACTCCCCCGTGCTGGGGGTCTTGAAAGCCCCCTGATGTCCCTCTGAAAGTTGCCCCTTGCAGCACCCTGCTCCCAAAACTCCCTGCCATGCAGAGACAGGGTGGGGAGGACCTGCCTCTTGGTCCCACAGGGTGACCTCAGGGTGACAGAAGTCCCCTGAGGCACACTGAGCTGTGGGAAGGGTGGAGGTTTGGGAGCAGTCGGGGGGAGC